GTAACGTTGGCTAACAACGTCAAAACAGATACAGCAATCTTTAGAAGCAGACGACGATTTTCTAGTAGACAACAATTTATAATGAAGAAAGCAACACAAAGCGTTGAACGTCTTCAGGTCATGTTAAAGTAAGTACCTATATATGATAAATAGTATCTGGCGATCATTTTATGCTAGCAGATCTATTTTATATTTGGTAGAATTACAATTTTGAATACGCTAACAAAACAAAATCGAACCCGATGAAAAACAATCGGAGAAAGTGTATGACAAAGACAGTCGGTACATATTGTACAAGATTAATTTGGTTTAATTTTCTCAACTGACTTGATACGCGCATATTACTTTCACATTCAATGTACCGTAGTAATTCAAATTATTAACATATTTTCAATTGATTAGCCGAAAATGTGCTTTAATAATACATGTATAATTATAGAATTTTTTTCTTGCAGACATGCATCCAGAAAGAGGAAGCGTTCCAAAAGCCCTGATGAGGAATCGCTACCCCCAGCAAAGCGTCCAAGAAAGATGGTGGCTGTGGTCCCACAATTTCCAAGGACGTTTTTATTAAAGGTCAAGAAATGGCAAGACAGGAAAAGAAAAATTGAATTAGGTAATTATTGAAATCGTGATTATTTTTATCAAATTTAAAAACAAATGCATGGTATTGATTGATATTTCATAATACACCAAAGATCTTAGTAAATGAAGAAGTACTTTTCAAAACAACATAGTATGCCGTTATGCATCAGTAAATTATTGCCCGCTCCCCCTCCCTCCAAATCCAATGATTAGCTTGTATGTTAAAGAACCTCGTCAATCAAATCATATTTTCTTTTTATGTGTACACTTTTGAAATGAATAATAATAATTTCGTCTGCTTTTTTCAGGCATGGCTCTTTACATAGAGGCACAGTTGAAGAAAATGTCCGACGCATCATCTTCGCCACCAGAACCCACAGTTTCATTATCAGTTGAAGCATTAGAGGGAATTAAGGCAGCCGAGCAGCTGATTGAAGAAATCTCGGCCGAGATCGCCGCTTCTTTTCCAAAGCGTTATGGAATCATCAAGAGGCTGGAGGTCAACAATGTTGCAGACGACAGTGTCGAGGTCAAGGTCGTTCCAGTTAAGCGCCGTGGCGGATGGAGGAAAAAGGGAGAGAAGCGATACTAAATTGAGTGATAAAAAAGACAAAAAAGAGCATAAAATAGAGAAAAATGCTAAAGCAAACCCCATTTGGAAGTTTCAGTAAGAGAAATGGCGTCACTTGTCAGGTTGTCACTTTCAAAAATCTGGTGAAAGGAAAGCATATTAAATATGATAAACAAGATAAACAAGGAGAGGCGGCGTTCAATGAACGCAACCCCCACACGACCCAGCAACAAGGACCAGCGGCCAGGAGCCCAGGAGGACCCCAAACAAAAACAGGACAGGGCACAAGGCAGAGCACGGACAGGATAATCACTTCAACAATAAATAAAAGGAAATAATAGTAACCATTAAAATTACATGAAAATTGCAGACTTGGTTTGATTGAGTCTATACATGAGGGATAATAAAGAAGTGCATAGGAAATGAAGACTGATGTTAGTTTAAACTGAAAGTGGGACTTTCATAAGTAACAGCTGAGATGATGGTCATGTGATTTTTTAACATTTGAGCTTTCCAGCTGAAAAAAAACGAAATAAATTTATTTTAGGCTGGTATTACTTTGTTGAGTTTATATATTATGCCAAATTTAAGCTAGCCATCGTTCAGCTTCTATAGAATTTATTTTTAGATAATGGAGTTGAAAGATATTTATGCGTTTTTTTTTTTAATTACAAAGCAAATACTAAGCAGTCCTTGAAATTTTCAATGATGTCATTTTTAAACAGGAATGAATTATTTATCTATACAACCCACCGTTGTTAATTTTTTGATAACAGTTGCTAAAATTGGCAAAGTAACGAGCCGGAGAAAAAATACGGGATTCTTTTTTTTCTGCACAACTCTCTTTTTTAGCTCACCAGAGCTTGCATTTAGGATCGTTGAATGTCCGTCCAAATTTGTTCGTTAACACTCTAGCGGTCACATTTTTGTCTCAATCGTCATCAGGATGTTTGTCTAGGTAATTGCTCGGATGATGGTCATCTCGGGTGAAAAACTAGGTCACAGGAGCTAAAAATAAAAAAAATTGTTAACAGCTGCTGTTTTGATCCAAATATCCTGGAACTTGGTCAAGGTCAAGTTCGAATATGGGTCATTTTGGGTCAAAAACTATGTCACACCGCCAAAATATGGAAAAACCTTGTTAACGCTCTACTGTAGTGGTCACATTTTTGACTCAATTGTCAGCAGTCTTGGTTAGGATGCTTGTCTAGGTAAATGCTCGGATGAGTTCGATGGGTCAGGTGAGCGATCTAGGGCCATCACTGCCACCTTGTTTAATCGTATCATAACAAGAATTTTTAAAAGCTTACTGAAGTTTTCAATTCCATATATCGTCTGAATAAAGCTACCTATATATATTATTACTCATGGCACTCTGAGCCAATCTTATTTCACACTACTCATAGCTTACCGAGCATGCTTGATAGAGTATAACTCATGGCACCTGAGCTAAACTTCCTTCACACTATTTACAACATACTAAACATCCTTGATAGAGAATTACTCATGGCACCCTGAGCCAATCTTATTTCACACTACTCATAGCTTACTGGACATCCCTAATAAAATATTTTTCATGACACCCTGGGCTCAGAATACTTTACACTACTCACAGCATTATGTACCATCCTCAAAGGGCATTGCTCATGACCCCCATGGGCTCAAATTACTATACACTACTCACTGCATATTATAACATCCCTTTTAGAGCATAGCTCATGACACCCTGCGCTCAACTAACTTTACACTACTCACAGCATAATGCAACATACTCATACAGCATTATAATTCTATGCCCCTGCTTCAGTATAGCTTACTCACACTACTTTAAGCATACTGGAGTCGTGCTCAGCTAAGCTGAGCATAATGTGAGCTGAGCATTATGCTAAGCACCCGAAGAACGTTGATCACTGGACATTTCTGTGAGCTCCCTATTAAGTGAGTTATATTCAAGATAATTTTAGATCAGTGAGTAATGTCCATTTGTTACAAATGTGATGCTGGTTGATCTTAATTTTCTACTTGTTTTATCACTTCCCGCGTCAATGGAGATAACTTTAACAAACCTTATTTTTTCTCAGCATAAAATTGTCTCCCTTAGTTTGTCAGATTAAATATATAGGGCATCTGTTGCTGTGTGGTTCAAAGGACACATTACCGTGAAGGTCATTTTTAGCTCGACTATTCGATAAGAATAAGTAGAGCTATTGTAGTCACCCGAGCGTCGGCGTCGGTTTCGGCGTCGGCGTAACCACTTATGTTAAAGTTTTTGTAATAGTTCAAATATTTTCAAAGTCCATTGACATATGGCTTTGAAACTTTGCACACTTGTTCACCATCATTACCCCAACCTGTAAACAGGAGGAGGTAACTGTATCAAGCATTTTGACAGAATTATGCCCCTTTTTCGACTTAGAATTTAAGTTAAAGTTTTTGTAATAGTTCAAATATTTTCAAAGTCCATTGACATATGGCTTTGAAACTTTGAACACTTGTTCACCATCATAACCCCAACCTGTTAACAGGAGGAGGTAACTGTATCAAGCATTTTGACAGAATTATGCCCCTTTTTTGACTTAGAATTTACGTTAAAGTTTTTGTAATAGTTCAAATATTTTCAAAGTCCATTGACATATGGCTTTGAAACTTTGCACACTTGTTCACCATCATTACCCAAACCTGTAAACAGGAGGAGGTAACTGTATCAAGCATTTTGACAGAATTATGCCCCTTTTTCGACTTAGAATTTACGTTAAAGTTTTTGTAATAGTTCAAATATTTTCAAAGTCCATCGACATATGGCTTTGAAACTTTGCACACTTGTTCACCATCATTACCCCAAACTGTAAACAGGAGATGGTAATTGTCTCAAGCATTTTTTTTACTATCAAGCACTTAGAATAGTCGAGCGTTGCTGTCCTACCGACAGCTCTTGTTTTCTAAATTATCTGCCTTTTTATTTTATTTTTATATTTTCAGTTAAGTAGAATTATGCCCACTTTTCTACTTTGCTTTCATCATAAGAAAATGGAGCCGAGCCGGCAGCTACTCGGACAACTGTTACATATTATCACGACGTTCCAACGCAAAGCGTTGATGATTTTGGGTATTGTGTCGAGTTACTATGGATTTTTTTAAGTTAAGAACTCTAGTTTGATAGTTTTTTAGGCCATTTTAAACGATTTGGGTTATATATTTCGGGAAGGTTTACCTTGATAATATTTATTCCTCCGTAGATACTCATCTTGTCTTGTTATTTGTTCTTACTTGTAATCCCACGTGATAATTGAGATGATCAACAAATAAACATGACACACGATGTCGTCTGTTAATTTTCACGGCGCCCAAGGACCAAACAAGAGCCCCCTTGATAACTTATCCAACGCTCTTCTGTTATAAGCGGACAAACTAGCTATTATGAATGCATTCCACTTAGAAACACTTCACTTTAACTTCAAAATACTGTTAACAACATTATTATTTATAAAATAGAGAAAAATAGAATCACTAAAGAACGCCCAAACCGACAAAATTGAAAATGTTGCAGGCTTGGTTTGATTGGGCATGTTCTTGGACGGTTCTGGTAGGTGCAAGGTACCGTCCACACCCCTTAGCACCGGCTTAAAGAGAATAAGAAGTCCACATTTAAACATGAAAACGGTGAAACATCTGCAGATGTGTTCATCATGCGATTATCTTGAAACCTGTAATGTGACACGTTCGCGCCATTCCTCCAAAAGCGGCGTATACGGTCAAAAAGTAAAAAAATGTGTGTGACCTTTAACCTACATACGTCAATGACGTATTTACATTGTGACGTAACTGACAATGTCGTCATAACGTCGTTGTTACTTTGCGCTAACAACGTCAAAACAGATACAGCAATCTTTTGAAGCAGACGACTATTTTCAAGCAGACGACAATTTACAATGAAGAAAACAACACAAAGTGTTGAGCGTCTTCAAGACATGTTGAAGTAAGTTCCTGTATAATTTACAGTACCTGGTGATCATCTTAAGCATTTTGATCTGTTTCATATTTGGAATATGATAAACAAGATCGACAAGGAAAGGCGGCATTCAATGAACAAAAAATCGAACCCGATCAAAAACAATCGAAGAAGGTTTATGACAGCAGTTATTATTAACAGTAGAAAATTAACATAAATAAATTATTAAAATGTATATGTATTTAATTTATTATATTGATAAGAACTCAACTTAACTCAGTGTTCGGTGACATGAAATATCTTGTGTTCAATTGAATACATTTATTATATCTAGATCTGTTAGGTATTTTTGTATTTCATACATGTGTTAGAATAGCAAATAAACTTACACAATACTCATACCGTCTTGTTTTTAAAGCTGCATACCTCCAGTTGAGCTAAAATATCTCAACAACATACAAGTTGAGAAACAAAATGTACTAAGATTGTAAGAAAAGTAAACAGATTCAAGATTCTCGTAATAATTAACATATTATTTGCAATATTTATCACCATATTCTACTGCGTGACATACGCAGTAAGTGCTATTTAACATATTTTGAGATATTTTTGGGCAGTTTTCGTATATTTAAAGTGATATTAGCAATTCAATTTGTAAATAACTTTCTTTGTTCTCATGACAATATTTTTTATTTTTGATACATTTAAAAAAACATGAAAATTAGTATGAATCTGAATCACTACATATTCTACAAAATCAATTAGTTTTTTTTTTTTTTTTTTTTTTTTTTTTTCAAACTGATTCATTCAATATTCTATATAAACTAGATCTGGGCTTCTTTCTATAACATGCTATGTACGGGAAACATAATTATTATTTATACATCTATAAATATAATAACCATATTACTGACTTTTTGAGAGAAAATAGATTGAAAAATTTAGATTTTAGATTGACGTTAGTATTAACATAACATTAAATGGTTCTACTTTTATATTTAATAACAAATGAAATATTCAAATTTCGTGGGTAAGACTATAGTGGATCTTGCTGATAAAGCAGTAACGGTAACAAATGGAAACTGTACAATTTGAAGAAATAGTTTCCTACTGGAATTCAAATGATGACCAAATTCATATATTTTTACACTTAATTAACGGTAAGAAAATGTTATAACAATGTTTTTTTATTTGCAGACATTCATCCAGAAAGAGGAAGCGTTCCAAAAGCTCGGATGAGGAATCGCTACCCCCAGCAAAGCGTCCAAGGAAGATGGTGGCAGTGGTTCCACTATTTCCAAGGACGTTTTTACTAAAGGTCAAGAAATGGCAAGACAGGAAAAGAAAAATTGAATTAGGTAATTACTTTATAAGTGAAAGTAAATTAATACAGAAAGTTTATTGATATTTCATAACACAAGAAGTGTTTCTCAGAACAACTTAATTTCCGATTAATTGTTACAGTTAATGACAACATGAATGTCAAGGATTGGCTTTGATTTGCAAATCCTCGAAATGTAAATTACCAGATATATGGTTATTAAAAAGCCCCACCAAAAATCCCCTCCCACCTCACTATGATTTAAAGATACCCGACTATTTTGGAACCAAAATAAATTGATAAAACCCTAGTGCGGGAACGAACAAAAAGCAAAAACCTGGCTGATTTTCCCTGCTATCCTCAAGCTAGGGCCCGAGTTACAAAGGTAACTAAAAGTTACCATTAGTTTGGAAAATCAACTCTTGTGATATTATTTCATTCAGCTAAATATTGCACGTACAATGGAATTACATGTATGTCATTATTGCACATATCTAGTACTGAAATAACAATATTTTCATCTGCTTCTTTCCAGGTATGGCTCTATACATAGAGGCACAGTTGAAGAAAATGGCCGACACATCATCTTCGCCACCAGAACCCACAGTTTCATTATCAGTTGAAGCATTAGAGGGAATTAAGGCAGCCGAGCAGCTTATTGAAGAAATCTCGGCCGAGATCGCCGCTTCTTTTCCAAAGCGTTGTGGAATCATCAAGAGGCTGGAGGTCAACAATGTTGCAGACGACAGTGTCGAGGTCAAGGTCGTTCCAGTAAAGCGCCGTGGCGGATGGAGGAAAAAGGGAGAGAAGCGATACTAAATTGAGTGATAAAAAGACCAAAAAAAAGAACATAAAATGAACAAAAATGCTTTAAAAAAAAGAACATAAAAAAGACAAAAATGCTTAAAGCAAACGTCGTTTGGGGGTTTTAATAAGAGACATGGCGTCACTTGTCAGGTTGTCCCTTTCAAAAATCTTGGAAAAAAAGAAGCATATTAAATATGATAAACAAGATAAACAAGGAGAGGCGGCGTTCAATGAAAGCAGCCCCCACACGACCCAGCAACAAGGATCAGCGGCCAGGAGCCCAGGAGGACCCCAAACAAAAACAGGACAGGGCACAAGGCAGGGCACGGACAGGATAATCACTTCAACAATAAGTAAAAGGAAATAATAGTTACCAACAAAATTACATGAAAATTGCAGACTTGGTTTGATTGAATCTGTACATGAGGGTAATGAAAAAGTGCATATGAGATGACGAATGGTGTTAATTTAAACTGAAAGCGGGACTTTCAGAAGTAACAGCTGAGATGACAATTACCTGATTTGGTTTTTTAACATTTGAGTTTTCCAGCCGAAAGAAAACGAAATAAAAAATTTATAGGCTGGTAGAATTTGTTAACTTTATATATTATGTCCACGGTATAACATAATCGTTCTACTTATATAGAAATTAATATTTTTAGAAAATGAGTTTGAAAGATAAATACGTGTTTTGTAAATTACAAAGCAAATTTCTACTTATTGGGTCACCGTTTATGTTATATGCTATATTTGTTATTTTAAATAATATAAAAAATTGCATATACCATGTTCTAACTAACCTAATTAACACTACTTATAGCATGCTGTAACATCACTCAATTTCCTCATTCCACCCTGTTTCCATTTACTTTACACTCCTCAGAGCATACGGTAATATCCCTCATAGAGCTTAACTCGCGGCATTCTGAACCTAGCCATCTTCACACTAAAAGCATATTGTGAGATCCGTCATAGAGCATCACATTACTCATGGCACCCTGACCTTAGCTATCTTCACAATGTGAAATCCCTCATAGAACATTACTCACGGCTTCCTGACCTTTGCTATCTTCACAATGTGAAATCCCTCAAAAAACATTACTCACGGCACCCTGACCTAAGCTATCTTCACAACACTGAAAGCATATTGTGAAATCCCTCAAAAAAACATAACTCATGGCACCCTGACCTTAGCTATCTTCACAATGTGAAATCCCTCATAGAACATTACTCATGGCACCCTGACCTAAGCTATCTTCACAACACTGAAAGCATATTGTGAAATCCCTCATAGAACATTACTCATGGTTCCCTGACCTTAGCTATCTTCACAACACTGAAAGCATATTGTGAAATCCCTCATAGAACATTACTCATGGCACCCTGACCTTAGCTATCTTCATAATGTGAAATCCGTCATAGAACATTACTCACGGCACCCTGACCTAAGCTATCTTCACAACACTGAAAGCATATTGTGAAAATCCCTCATAGAACATTACTCATGACACCCTGACCTTAGCTATCTTCACACACTGAAAGCCATATTGTGAAATCCCTCATAGAACATTACTCATGGCACCCTCACCTTAGCTATCTTCATAATGTGAAATCCCTCATAGAACATTACTCACGGCACCCTGACCTAAGCTATCTTCACAATGTGAAATCCCTCAAAAAACATTACTCATGGCACCCTGACCTAAGCTATCTTCACAACACTGAAAACATATTGTGAAATCCCTCATAGAACATTACTCATGGCACCCTGACCTTAGCTATCTTCATAATGTGTAAATCCCTCATAGAACATTACTCACGGCACCCTGACCTAAGCTATCTTCACAACACTGAAAGCATATTGTGAAATCCCTCATAGAACATTACTCATGGCACCCTGACCTAAGCTATCTTCACAACACTGAAAAGCATATTGTGAAATCCCTCATAGAACATTACTCATGGCACCCTGACCTTAGCTATCTTCACAACACTGAAAAGCATTTTGTGAAATCCCTCAAAAAAACATTACTCATGGCACCCTGACCTTAGCTATCTTCATAATGTGAAATCCCTCATAGAACATTACTCACGGCACCCTGACCTAAGCTATCTTCACAACACTGAAAGCATATTGTGAAATCCCTCAAAAAAACATTACTCATGGCACCCTGACCTTAGCTATCTTCATAATGTGAAATCCCTCATAGAACATTACTCACGGCACCCTGACCTAAGCTATCTTCACAACACTGAAAGCATATTGTGAAATCCCTCATAGAACATTACTCATGGCACCCTGACCTAAGCTATCTTCACAATGTGAAATCCCTCATAGATCATTACTCACGGCTTCCTGACCTTAGCTATCTTCACAACACTGAAAGCATATTGTGAAATCCCTCATAGAACATTACTCATGGCACCCTGACCTAAGCTATCTTCACAACACTGAAAGAAAATTTTGAAATCCCTCATAAAACATTACTCATGGCACCCTGACCTAAGCTATCTTCACAATGTGAAATCCCTCATAGATCATTACTCACGGCACCCTGACCTTAGCTATCTTCACAATGTGAAATCCCTCATAGATCATTACTCATGGCACCCTGACCTTAGCTATCTTCACAATGTGAAATCCCTCATAGATCATTACTCACGGCACCCTGACCTTAGCTATCTTCACAATGTGAAATCCCTCATAGAACATTACTCACGGCACCCTGACCTTAGCTATCTTCACAATGTGAAATCCCTCATAGAACATTACTCATGGCACCCTGAACTAAGCTATTTTCACAATACAAAAAGCATATTGTGTTATCCCTCAAAGGACATTACTCATGGTACCTGAACCATAGCTATCTTCACAATACTAAGAGCATATTGTGAAATCCCTCATAGAGCATTACTCATGGCACCCTCAACTTAGCTTTCTTCACAATACTGAAAACATATTGTGGAATCCCTCATAGAACATTTCTCATGGCACCCTGATCTTAGCTATCTTCACAACACTGAAAACATATTGCAAAATCCCTCATAGAGCATTACTCATGGCACCCTGAACTTACCTATCTTCACAATACTAAAAGCATATTGTGTAATCCCTCAACATTTCTCATGGCACACTCACCTAAGCTATCTTCACAACACTAAAAGCTTATTGTGAAATCCCTCACAGAGCATTACTGATGGAACCCAGAACTTGGCTATATTCACAATACCCACAACATATTGTAAGATCCCTCATAGAGCATAACTCATGGCACCTTGGTTTTAATTACACACAGAACATTGTAACATCCCTGATAGGGCATTACTCATGACAGCCTGTACTCCACTTACCTACACTACTCACAGGATACAGTTACATCCCTCATAAAATTACTCATGTCACAATTGACTCAACTTACTTTACACTGCTCACAGGAGACAGTTACATCCCTCATAGAGGATTACTCATGTCACACTGTACTCAACTTACTTTACACTGCTCACAGGAGACAGTTACATCCCTCATAGAGGATTACTCATGTCACACTGTACTCAACTTACTTTACACTGCTCACAGGAGACAGTTACATCCCTCATAGAGGATTACTCATGTCACACTTGACTCAACTTACTTTACACTGCTCACAGGAGACAGTTACATCCCTCATAGAGGATTACTCATGTCACACTGTACTCAACTTACTTTACACTTCTCACAGGATACAGTTACATCCCTCATTGAGGATTATTCATGTTACATAGCTCAACTTATTTACACTGCTCACAGGATACAGTTACATCCCTCATAGGGTTATTCATGTCACATTTGGCTCAACTTATTTACACTGCTCACAGGATACAGTTACATCCCTCATAGGATTATTAATGTCACACTTGGCTCAACTTACTTTACACTTCTCACCGGACACAGATACTCCCTCATAGGATTATTCGTGTCACACTGTACTCAACTTACTTTACACTACTCACAGGATACAGTAACATCCCTCATAGGACTATTCATGTTACACTTGCCTCAACTTACTTTATACTTCTCACAGGACACAGAAACATCCCTCATAGGATTATTCATGTCACATTTAGCTCAACTTATTTACACTTCTCACAGGATACAGTTACATCCCTCATTGAGGATTATTCATGTCACATTTAGCTCAACTTATTTACACTGCTCACAGGATACAGTTACATCCCTCATAGGATTATTCATGTCACATTTGGCTCAACTTATTTACACTGCTCACAGGATACAGTTACATCCCTCATAGGATTATTCATGTCACACTTGGCTCAACTTACTTAACACTTCTGAAAGGATACAGTTACATACCTCATAGGTTTTTTCATGTCACATTTAGCTCAACTTACTCTATACTTCTCACAGGATACAGTTACATCCCTCATAGAGGATTACTCATGTCACACTTGACTAAACTTACTTTACACGTCTTACAGGACACAGAAACATCCCTCATAGGATAATTCATGTCACATTAAGCTTAACTTACTTTACACTGCTCACAGGATACAGTTTCATCCCTCATAGAGGATTATTCGTGTCACACTTGACTCAACTTACTTTACACTACTCACAGTATACTGCATTATCCCTGATAAGTTGCTCATGGAACCCTGGGCTTAGCTATTTTCACAATACTACAAGCATACTGTGATATCCCTCATACAGCATTTCTCATGGCACCCTGGGCTCAACTGCCTTAAAATCTGTATCTCTGGTGAATGACGCCATAGCTTCCTCTCCATTAAAATAAAGCTCTATAGTGTTAAAAGGCAGGAAAATTTGGAAGATCAAAAATGGCTAAAAATAAATGAATAAAAAGAAAAGATCCAGATAAATGCAAATAGCTAATTTATTAATGAAAACACTTAATATATTCTATACAATGTCCAACAATCAACTTTTATCATTGCAATGGTTCAATTTTATACAGAGTGATAGAGTAAGGCAAAAAAGAGTTTTATTTTTTTTTGGTGTGCGTGTATTATTTACACATGGTCGATAATACGTAAAAATCTAAAACTCAAAAAGAGCGCGAACAACTTTCACTCTTCTCTACTACAATAAAACAAACATATATATAAAAAACATCATTTTTTTTCATACAGCTACCATCTATTTCAAAGATATGTAAGTTTAACAATGTTATTTTTTGAACTGGTTTTGTTTTTAAAAAAATGATCAGTCAGTATCAACAATTAATTTGTCTGAAAATTCATGAAAAAAATTAATCTATTCACGAATTTAAAAAAGAATAGTTATGGTTTTTTATAGGTTTAACACCAAAGATGTTCAATATTGTGAGATCACCTTTACATGAATAACTTGACAATGATGGTTAAATTTCCGTTTGAATACTGAACATTTACTGGCAAAATTTTGGTAAAAAATCGTGCATATTCTACAAAATATGAGCACACAAAAAAATATCTTTTAATTAAAGACTTTTGAACTTGATAAAACATGTGCGTCTTGACCTGGTTAGTGGTTATTACAAAATGAATGAAGATGTGTAAGGTCCTGGGCTATAAAAGACATCTCAAGGTCAACAAATTGAGTCTCATCTGAGGCAAGATATTCTTTTTTTCCTACGATACAAACAAAGTTGATGCAAATACTGTTCACCCACAAATGGATCATCTTGCAAAAAACAAATCACTATGTTGAGATCCCCATAAAAATTGACATTCATGGAAAATTGTGCAAATTAATTTTCACTGTAGACAAGTGCAAGGAGACATATTTTTGGTTTCGTCACATGGCAACTTTCCGGTTTTTAGTGGTAGAGAAAGACCTCAGGTGCCTCATTGTGCACTATTTCAAGTATAACGGATGAAATCCCGTAAGCTAGCTGGATAGCTTCCTCACATAAAAGAAACCAAAGTCCCTGGCTAGATTTGAACTCGAACTTGTAAATGATCAGTGCACAGCTTAAGAGTTTTGACCGATTGCATGGATATACATGCTTGTCTGTTGAAGCCATACATTATCGCCACTAGTGACCAACAGACAGGGAAATTAAATTGAAATACCTTATGTTAGTGATTCTGAATAAATGTTTTTTTAACACTAAGGCACTTCAGGGATCTCTTTGTTTGTCTTCTTAAGATTTTATATGTTTTTTCTTCTTTTTTCACATTATTTGATGACCAGTAATTGATTTCAAACTATCAAAATTAAATGAATCAATACATGACATACAATTTTACAAGAATCCCTAAACAATAGAGACATAACCATTTATTTCCACTTTCTTTCTATAATTTTTGCCATTTTTCCCCCCTGAATTTTAAATATTTCTTTTCAATAGATTAAACTTGAAAGGGCATAAAGCTAAAAATATGAATTTCGAAAATTTAAAACATCTGTTCTACTATCACGTTAATTTCATTATCACGTTAATTTGTCAATTTTATATCATATCGTTATATCCAATGTTTAATTTACTACTCAAAGTGTAAATTATTTCATAAAAGAAAGTAATAACTTTCCTAACAAAATTTAGCAATGGTTTTATGCATACCCCTGCCACTTTGTTCAAAATTTACAAGCATTGTCCCTTTTAATTTCAGTATCTTGGTATATGTTCATCATCCAGTTACAGATAGCTTACAAATATAGACCTCCAACTTATAGCTTTATACCCTTTAAATTCCTTAACTTTTTACACTCCATATTCTATAACAAATTTCTCACTTAGTGCAAAAACAGGTTAACTCCTAATAAAACTCAAAAGCAGTTAACCCATTACTGCACTAGGGTGATAAAATATTATGCAGCATCAAAAAATAAAAGTTTATAAAGAAATCAGTAACTCAAAAGCTTTGATATCGTTACTATTTTATATCTACATTCAAAATTCCTACTAAATTGACATAAAAACATTTAAAAATTCTACATTTTTAACACAGATTTAATTTCGAACATTTACCACTACAATATTTTTTCAACAGATTGCTAAAGATGTCACATTTGACGAAAAAAACAAATTTTAAAAACCTATATAACAAAGCTAAAAACAACTTTGAACGAAGACGTTTGATTTGACAATTTATACAAAACGGGAAATCTATGAAAAATATTAAACCAAACAACATTTATATTGCATTAGAAAAAGTGGGGAAGAGAACGTAGCATATCAGATAAAACGATAAAAATAAATCTGAACAAAAGTCAGTAACAATTTTTTTTTTCAAGAAATATACACGGAGAAAAAAAAACAAAAAACAAATGTGGATGCTAAAATAGATTTACTCTTAACATGCTGAAATACTAAAAAAAAATCAATTTTTCTATCTTTTCCATTTTTCAGAAAATGTCCCATCAAAATTCATGGACGAGTAAGAAATTTGAATTTTGTCAGCCACAGCCTAATATGCCAAGCAGTATGGAGTCTGGTCAGACTGCACAGATGTGCAACCTGGCCAGGCCCCATCAATTGATGGACGAGATAAAAAATTGAAATTTCTCAGCCAAAAAGTATAATAACGCCTGCACTTATGTGTGAGCTTGCCTGGATTAAGGGAAACGTCCATTATCGTTTTTCAGGGGACAATTAAATAAATAGTTTGTTTGTTTCATATTTCAGTCATATAGGCGGGTAGTTTCCTAACCATCGTTCCTGGAGAGTTACACCAGTACTAGACTACCTTCCTCCGCGCTAAACTACGAATGCATATTTAGAAATTTTCTTAGTCACCAGTATAAGAGACTGGCCTCGCTCTATACTGGTGCCAAAGGTTTATTTCCTTTTTGGTTTTCAGCAGGTTAAGGGTTTATTAAATCATGCCATTTTATCAGATTCAAATGAGACGGGTGTGATTATTTACAAAAATAGAATGATCTATTTACAAACATGTATCAATGACGAAAAATACTTTCTTGATTATTCATGCTTATTACAAGTAACATACAATTCATATTTTTTCTTCTTTTTATAATGGAACAGACCTGTCATTAAAAGGAGGTCCTGTGTTTAATATAAATATTAAAGTCATAATTACGGTATCTTTGTGAAGGACGATCAAAGGCGCCTCGTCACGAATAAACTCAAAAGAACTAAGCACTTTCCATGTATTATCCTAGACAGCTTTTAAACATTGACAGTTACTTACATTACACCTTATGTACCGCAAATTTTTTTTTTAATCGTTATGACCTAAAATTTCAATGTCTTTATCATTTTACAGAATTAAAACATTCAAACCCTTATAGCAAAAGAAATGGTAACAATAGCATACAAGGGAAAAATAAATATTAGATTAGACATGGTGCAAATTTGATGAAAGTATCAACATTACAAATAAAATTTTTGTAAATAAACCTTTAAAACTGTGGCATCTTTTTACATAGCGTCATTTTTTATGACATGACATTTTACTGACATTGTGCCTTAATCACAGCAAGGTCCAAAATTCACTAACCACAGCTTATACTAACATAAATCAAAACAGGGACTCGTTAAAACAAGTTATGGTAAAGTACCCACTTCTTAATACTTAATAATTTCACAAAATTAGCACTTTTTATGTTGATCCCTCAAAATTGTAAAGCATGTCCATAAAATATTTAGACATATCATTAACTGATAGGAAATATTAACATTTAAGTAACATTTATTTATATTCCACGTGCGTATATATTCATTAACACTTGTGCCCCCAAGATGACAGTTTATCAATTTTACTCTTAAAAAATCTTTATAAAACCAACTTAACGAAGATTATCATGATATAACACAACAATATTGTTTCCATCGTGACAACTCCCAACAATATTTAACCTTCTTTATATGTACTAATAATAATAAATATTCAAATAATCCTTTTTCACAAGAAAGTACTTCCGTCTCAGTCACATAAGAATTAAAACATGACAAGAGAGTCATAAATGGCCCTACATCGCTCACCTGACCTGTAACTAAACCTCTTATACTGTCATAGTATAACTTTCTTTTTTAAATGTTAAAGACACTAACAATATGAAGGCCATATGACAACTGCCACACTTTCTTTGTGGAGACAAACCTCTACCGACCCGACATGCATTCGGGCACAGACACCCAAAATAGAACAATCTTCGCTCCATACTATTTTCAAACGCTCAGGGGTAAATTTTAAGATATTTTGTGTAATTCTTGTATAAACATATCAGAACCTGCGAACACGGGTAATCACAAAAGCTACATGTAGCAAGAGATAGTGACCTATCACTTCTCACCTATAAAAATAACACTTAATTGACAATTATAAAAATGACGATAAAATTTTTCTTCATCCTTAAAATCTAAAATTTTTTGGTCATGATAAAATACACATATTCTCTGATTAACATATATATGAACAAAATATACATTTCTATATACAAAACTCTTTCAAGATAAAAAAAAATGTACATCTGATTATTTACAAACATAAAGACGATAATGACGATGATATAACATTTCAGAAAATTTTATCGTTACACAATTTCAAAATTTCAACAAAACGCACATATACACACAAAAATATGTTTAGGGTTTTTTTTTTTTCATCTTAAAATAACCGCCTAGAGGCTGCACTATCATACATGTGTATTATCGTATATACAGAGAAAATCAAAAAAACTTTCCTGCGAATGTGTGCACTGTTAAGCGAAAGAGAGAAAACGCGTCGAGAAATGAAATGAAATTTTTTTCCCTATATATCCTTAGCTGCAGATACGCCTCTCCCGATGAATTTAATTATGAAGCTGACAAATTTTGACAAGAATTTAACGACAAATCGTCACCTAAGTGTAGTAACAGGTTAACTCTTTATATAATTCTATAGGATTTAACCAGTTACTGCACAAAGGTAATGAAATGTTGCCGAAAAAAATGTAAATGAGAACTTGGCAAAATATTTTTTGACAAATGAGGATGATAATTTTATTTGTTATCAACGATAATTACAAATGCTGATGATAATGTTGGTAATGATGATAATGCTGACAAATCAGGACAATGATAATGAGGATGATAATTTTTATGATAATTTTCTTGCATAACGATGACGACTACATGAACGATGATGAAGTTTCCTGATGAATGACAAGGTCGATGATGATGATGATAATTGGTACCTACACAGATGATGATGATGACAATAATGATGACAATGATGATGATAATCATGATGAATATGTCGAAAGAGTAATTGCAGACAGGCGATGGCTTTAAACTATAATCTATGACACCAAATAAAATCAAACCTATGACCGCATTTCAATATCAACAAAAAGGATGACTGATGATAATGATGCTGATTTAATGATGATGATTTGATGATGATAATATAAGTGAACTGTACACGATGAAATCATTGCATGTTGAAAAACCAACAAAATGAGATTGATATAAGAAAAACCATTTCCTAGGTAACTAATTCATATAAAAGAACATATAAAAAAAACAGTCAATAAATGAAAAGTCTGTACCGGTTTGTATATGATGCCTTAAACAAAACAGAAATCCAGAACAATGTACAAATCAAAAACTAAATCACTGTACAGCAGATTTTCTTTTAGAAATATAGTATTTCATAACTGATAGAGATTTGCGTATCAAATTTTCTTTTGAGTGTGTGTATATGTATATATATATAAACATATATACAGAAAAACAAAAACCTTTAACAAAACTATCAGCCGATGCAATAGAAAATAAAATCAATTCCGAAGCAACAACGTATATATAATAAAAACTTGTAAATTTATGGCAACTGTTAAATCTTAACTTTTGACACTGAATTTTATTATCAAATTATATAAAACAAAACAAAAGTTATGTCATGCCCTAATAAAAAAAATACACAATGATAAAAGACTTAACAAAAATTTACATATTTTTTTTTCCCTTAATTTTTTTTTTAATCTTTTATATTTTTTATATATGAATATACATAAATGGTTTTAAAAATGGTATTTAGAGATCTTTTCAACATCATTACCTGATCAGCGTGAAGAAAACTACGATGATTGAACAGAAAAAAATATTGCGAAAAATAAAAAATTCCTAAATAAAACCACATGGTGTGGGAACCAAATTACTAAGTACATGTTGATTATTCAACATTCATTTTCGTACGACATTTCGAGAAGTTTAAAACATTTTTTTTTTTTTTTAACCCTAAGCCCATGTGATAAATTGATTTTTCAACATTCATTTTCTTAAGGCATTTCAAGAAGTTTAACAATTTTAAAACCTTAGCCTAAGTTTAAACATAACTGGTACATATTACTAAAACCTCGCTCAATAAAAGCTCAAAACCAAGCAAAAAAACTTTGGTAAAAACAGAATGTTTACTTAAAAGAACAATCTATTGGTTAAAACGAGATTTTTTTTTTCTACTAAATTTTTTAAAATTTTATTGTCAACAATAGCTGCCTTTAATTAAAATACAAGCAAATAAATAAAATGAATTTTTTTATATGAAATGATTGGTAAATGGCGATTGAATTGGTGTGTGTATCAATGGTTTAAAAAAAAAAACCAACAACAAAAACATGCCTTCACCATATTGTATAGAAGCTTACCACATCAAATGGTGTGGTAAATTTTAACATTTGTGCTTAAAACATTCATTAAAATAAAAAAAATTAATAAAATTCTGCAACAAACTTGATTTATACAAAAATAAACTAAAAACTTATTTCATAACAATCAAAACATTAAATATTCTCCAATCATCTTTCAAGTTTCATTAAAAGAAAAAAAAAATTATCAACAAAATTTTAGGCCATTCATGCAGCCATGTTGAACAAAAATGAATTTATTATTTTTATCAAAAATCTTATGTATGTGAAGTTTGGGGATGTGAATAATGACGAGCACTATTTTTGCTGTAAGAACTATATACATCCGTGTCACGACAAAACCAACATAAAGGCTTGGCAACCAGCATGGATCCAGACCAGCCTGCGCATCCGCACAGTCTGATCAGGATCCATGCTATTCCCCTACCAACTCTATAACAAGTAGAGAAATTGATAGCGAACAGCACTATGTTGGTTTTGTCGTGTCAGATCTTTCATAACAATCTTAACACACAACTAATATAAAACACATGCTGCAAACTGCTCCGATAAAAACTATATAAAGTCTGGTGGGGGGGTATCAGCGTCCTCCTGGGTGTTTCGTTATAAAAGTCTAAGGTGGTAACAAGGTGTGTAGTTTATATTTATCCCGGATGTGCGGTCTCACGTCCTCATTCTAAAAAATAGAAACAATAAAAGTTCCTTGTTACAATAATACTGAACACTAAAATTTGTTTTTTGTTCACCACTTTCAGCTACAAGGATGTATTTCATAATTTTTTATCCGTGCAAATTATCCTTAATATGCCAAAATATAAAATTTTACCATATTTTTACCAACAGGTTCAAAATGTGATCATACTTTAGGTTAAAGATGCCTTTAATTCCACTGCTTTATCAGTGTACATACATAAAGCACTATGATGGGTGGAGAGGGGGTGCAAATCTGTATGTCCCTCTATCCACCCTGAAAGGGGGCATAAAAATATTTTCTCTGCTATAGTTTACATAAAACATGCACAGAATCTAAATATCCTTTAAGTTATTATCTACACATTGCTTAATCTCTCTAAACATTTTAAGAAGTTTGACATTTTGAAATTTTGGTTTCCTCATCTGGTGGTAACCACTTTTACAGAAACAGTGAAAATAAAAAAATATGTACAATCTTAACTAATGCAATGCTGGCGGCACCTGAATGTCACCAAGCAACCACTGCAGACCACCAAGATCAGATCAGGGGCTGCACTGAGTCGCTATCCCGTCAGTTTGTATATTGAAATATTCTTTAAAATCGAAACATGGTTTACATCTAGTTTGAATGATGGACAAGTCCATTTAAAATATAACAAGATGGGCAAGTCCATTTAAGATATTTAGTGTAGTAAAAGGTTTTAGTTACCATAGTAACGAGACTTTCCAGGAACGGCAACATGTTTATAAGTTCCCTGTCTGTTTTATCAACAAACCAGCTCTCTATAGGTATGCCATTATGTAACTGAAACAAATAAACAAAATCGTAATGCTGCCATCTTTTCACTGGAAATTTTTTATAAATATTTTCCTCTTTTCCTTGTTTAAAATCTATTACGGTATTACTGCGTAGGAAGCTATAAGCTTATAGACACACTGATGAATCTGTTCCTGGAACTAACCAGTACTCCGCAATAAATGTAGTTTCTTGCTCAAGGAAACAACAGCTTTCCTTAAGGGATTTGAACCTACGCTCATTTTTGTGACCGACTAGCACAAATTGATTTTTTTTTTTGTATTAACTTCAATTGTATCGTCTTTTGTAATAAACTTGCACTGTCCATCAATGAATTTGGACTTATCCCCAAATCATTTTAAAAGGGTTGCGTTTACAATTAAGGTCATAGGGCAACTTATCAGCTTCAGGTCATACACTCAAGTTTTCAAGGCCACATGAATGCATCCGAGTATAACCACCAGTCATTCATAATCTGGCTAAGTTAAGCCTGTTGTAAGCAACTAAATACACCCTTGCAACCAAGGTCGACTGGCACATCCATGCTGTCTGAACATGGTCTGCACTGTTTGCTATTCACAGTACATACTTTGAAAACGACCATTAAAATCATGAATGGTTTTCTTAAGATTGGAAGATGAACAGATATTTAGTGAGCAAGGGTTTTAATGAAAGATTCATAAATAACATATTGTTTAAGTATACTAGAAGAAGTAATGTGGTACCTGATAACCAAATGCTTGTGGAGAATTATCTATGATGATCGTCCTACTTAGATCACGTCCTAGTATACCTAGATCTTTAATGTAGTTCCCATTTACACATACACAATGTTCCCTAAACAACCGGTGTCTGAAAATACATTCATAAGACATATAGAAATATATAAAATTTTCAAGGCATATTGTGCCTTTAGAAATGAATATGATTTGCCCTTTGAAGAAACTAGAACTCCGCGAGTCGGATGTGTCGCCTTGTGAACAATGTAGTTTAGGGGAAATGGCCAAGAGACCAAAATAAATATGAAAATAACAAAGGGCAATAATAAAAAATAATACTTGCAGAGCAGGCACATTTCTGTAACTGCACTTCTTATCAATAAGATCTTCATTCTATGATTTTCAAGTTCCATAGCTTCATACTTGAGGAGAAATGACAGGACAAAATAAAGTGAAAAAAATCAACAAAGGGCAATTACCTCAAAAATATAGAAATGAAGAGTATCAGTTCTTATGGCACTGCACTTCTTTTTAATGAGATCTATCATCCATGAAAGTTTTCAAGTCCATAGCTTTTAATACTTAAGGAGAAATGGCCGTACAAAATTAAAAAAATGAAAATAAACAAAGGGCAATAACTTAAAAAATAAGAAATGCAGAGTACCATGTTCTTGTGCCCTGCAACTTCTTTCTTAATGAGACTATCATCCTATGAAGTTTTCAAGTCATGGCTTTTATACTGTCGGAGAAATGGCCAGGACAAAAATTAAGTATGAAAATTAAGCAAAGGGCCATAACTTCAAAAATTAAGAATGGGCTAAGTACCGATTCTTGTGCTCTGCACTTCTTAATAATATATCTATATCCTAATGAAGTTTTCCAAGTCGCATAGCTTTTATAGCTTAAGGAGAAATGGCCGGACAAATTAAAAAATGAAAATAAACAAGGGCAATAGAACTCAAAAAATAAGAAATGCAGAGTACCAGTTCTTGTGCACTGCACTTCTTCTTAATGAGACTATCATAGCCTATGAAGTTTCAGAGTCCATGGCTTTTATTCATTAGGAGAAATGGCCCGGACAAAAATAAAAGTAAGGGGGGGGGGGTGAAAATTAACAAAGGCAATAACTCAAAATTAGGAAAGTGCAAGTACTGGTTTCTTGTGGCACTGCATTTCTTCTTAATGAGATCTATCATACTATGAAGTTTCAAGTCTATAGCTTTATTTAGTTGAAGAGAAATGGCCTGGACAAAATTAAAGTAATTGAAATTAACAAGGGCAATAACTTCAAAAAATAAGAACTGCAGAGTACCGGTCACTTGTGCACTGCACTTCGGGTTATTGAAAGAAGCATGCATACCAAGTTTGAAGTCAATCAGACTTATGTGACTGAGTTATGCTCCGCAGCTTTAGCGGACGCTGGGGGAAAAAACACCAAAAACCCCGGGTCGGGAGAATCCCCACCCCCCCCCCCGGGGGGCCCCCCCCCCCCGGGATGGGGGAGGAAAAACCCCGAAAAAAAACAAAAGAGGAAAATACCCCGGGGGGGGGCCCCCCCCGGCCCCCCCACCCCCCCCCGCCCCGGGGGGCGGGCCCCCCCCCCCCCGCCCGGGGGCCCCCCGCCCCCCCCCGGACGGCTTGACAAAGTAACCCATATGTACCTTTTCAAGCGACAACAAAAAAGGCAAACCTGTGTCATTTTTTTTTTTTTAAGGAAAAACATTTAAACAGGCACCAAAATAAAACAAGAACTGTCCGGGCCCCAAGACATGCTCAACTATTCTCAGTGCTTGACAAAGAGAAAAGGGGCATAACTCTGTTTAAATGGTAACTAAGATTTATTAGGCCAATGCCCATCATGTTAAATAATTGCAGCAAAAAAGAATGTAAACTGATACTTGTGTAATCAGACCCCAATCCTATCAATGATTACTTTTTTGGTGACATTTAACAAATGCATTTTTCATGTCCTTTTATGAACATACATAGGGTGAAAACTGTTAAAAGGACCTGCCGAAAACGGTAAACAGGACCTGAAACCCGTTTATAAAGAAGACCTGAAACAGGATTTCACTGCTTAAATCACTTTTGAAACAAACAAAAAAATCAAAGCACAGAAGGCGCTGAATTTGTTTGGGTCTCAGAATGTAAGAAAGGTGCAGGTTGTGAGATTATATGTATAGTGCCACCAATGCTTTCCGGCGTTTTAATTGCAACACTGATATGCAATCCAATGTTTATTTGACTTAAACAATTTGAAAAAAAAAATGAGTTGCCTTTACTCCAGACCTCTCGCTTCATAGGCGAGCGCGAAAACCCTTCAGCCACGGTGAATTTATATGTGAATGGCCTGAAGAAAACCATATATTCTAAATTAGGACTTGTAACGACTTTAACTGGTTGTTTAAACAGATGTAAATAATCCTGGAGCTTACTATAAGCAATGTAATATTTATAAAGAATCAAAGGGAATGCAAGTTCTGTGGTATTTCTGAATCTTGCAATTTTTAATCGTACTGTATATTTCTGTTGCATTTTTCCTGTATAAGTTATTTTTATGTATTATAATTCCATTTTTGGCAAGGCCCAGAGTTTGATACATACGGGAATTTTGCATACTAGAGAATGCAGTCAAAAATCATTTATGTTCATTTTTTTACGAGCCAGTCACACTTTATATACCTTGCAATATCATGGCTACTTCCGTTACAAAAGACACTTAAAAAAGAATTAAAAAAAAAGTTTCCTCGACTTGGATGTTGAACTCAGACCTCTGCACTCCTGAAGCGGCGCGTTACCCCTGCAACGGAGAAGTTATACAACTAATGTCTGAATAACATCAGTCATTCTAGATTTAGAACTTCCATTGCATTTCGGGTTTGTTATCCCTTATTATTTCGAGGTATTTTGTTCAGGATAAACCTGTTGTTTAAAAAATTGAAGTAAACTAATTTAGCGAAAATCTTTCGCCCAACAGTCCGACATGTAGAATCTATATATTCCAACTACTTGGTTTGTGTAGTATTCGCTAAAAATAGTATTTCATTGATAAAATCATATTCATCCGCGTAATTTGTGATTGTGGCATTTATGTACAATTCTATTAGCCAAGCTATTGTTTAAACCTTGAAGCGTGTTATTTGGTTTGGAATACTTGTAACAAATAAAAATATTTCTTTCTTTAAAATCGCTAGTTTTTAAGCTGTTTTGAGAACTACTTGTTGTTAGGTTTGTTGTGAACTTCTGTGTCAGAGATTGAATAGTCGCTTGTAATTTACTAATTTCGATCAGAAATACAATAAACAATATAGAAATCTCGACCATTCGGGAATTATTTTGGCTTGAAAAATTAATTCGCCTGTCTTTGGACCATCTTACGCTAGTGATCTCCCTGAATTTTTTCGGGCGTTAGTTGTACTATAAAGGGAAGTAACCGCTTAAAAAAAGTGGACTACTTTCGGCGTTTGCAATTAACAACATTAGACTCTGAAATTTCGCTACCATTATTTGTTTGGTCTGACGACCCAAACAAATAAAAACAGTTTTTAACAAAATGTTGCTTTATGATTATCTATCTACAAAGGAGGTTAAGTAAAATAACTTACTTTATAAGTTTCTTATGGGGGTCAAGTAGATTAAGGAGTTTGTCTGCATATACTTTCTTTGAAGCTGTGAACAGTATCACCTCAAACACCTGTGATACACGCTCCAAAAACTCCCGGAAGAAAGGCCGCGTTCTGACAAATACCTGCAAAAACAAATTAATTAAATTTATATGACTGAAATGACAATGGCACTCCCCATGTTAAAATAGCTATTGTTCTGAAAAATACCTGCTCTTTGAACAAAGTCTTATTAATTTGATTGTAGTTTCATCATCATTAATTTTTTCAATAGCTACTCTCAAGAGGTTTAACGCCTCACTGCAATAAATAGTCCCAGGCTTTTTACAATATATACCTCTTGGGCAGCGGTCAATATTCTATAATTATATAATATGAATTACAAAATATGAAAACATCAATATTAACAGCCGATTTAGGTCAACTATCAAATTCTTTTACACATATGGAGGAAATATTATTACAGCACCAATATCTTAAAGATTTTTATCAGTTTTCATAAAGATGCTATAATTGTGAGAGATTTTTATCTTATCTTAAGCATATGACATATTGGGAATGACCCTCAAAATGGCGCCCGGGAATGGGGAGGTAATGATATAACTGCTATGTGAAGAGCATCTATAGTAAAGTTTCCTCTAATATGTGAAGGGGAACTGTAGGTGCTCATTTTGTATTATTTCAGGCAATGAGTGGAAAACAAACAAACCCATGCACCGAAATAGCTTGATGGTATATTCACATGAAAGGTATTTCGAAAGTCCCTGGCAGGACTCAAACCAATATAGCCAAAGGTACATAAGACTTCAGACTTCCTATCAGTTCCCAACATTTAATAAAACAAATATCTCATACCATTTAAACAACAAACACCTTTAATATCATCATAACATATCTATATATCAGAAAGAATAAATCAATAATTAAAACAATTCTGGTAAAATTCCATTATAGCGTCACTAAAAAAACCCACTTTTCTCTCTCTCTCAAACAATTGCCTGGTGGAATAATCAAATCCCATTTATTTAATTACATCGGACATTAATTTCATCCATGCAATCAATATGTCTCCACAAGCAATTATCTAATGTATCTCAGGACATGCAAGATCAATTTTAAATATTCACTACATCCCTCTCTCTTTCCAATATTTATTCACAAGATCACAAGAAGCTGTTTATTAAAAATTATCAGAAGAAATCAATTTTTTTATTCTTAATCAGCTTTTATTTGTCTAGAAATTGGAACATCTTTGTTTTTTTCACCTTCATTAGTTGATTATTTTGTTAATTACAGGAATTAAGCTTTCAATTTAGAAGCAAGCATTTTTAATTGGAGGTATTTCAGTATCAAAATGGTACTGTACAATTAAGAAGCAGATGTCCAGGTAAAATCACCTGCCACAAATTATGGTAAGCTCAGCTACTTTCTTTTTCAGTTGTACAAGTTAACCTGTGCATTATTTGAGGTTCAAGCACCTTCGGTAACTGGGTATACATAAGAAACACAACACAAAATACAAAGCTCTAAATAAGATGATCTATGTACTGATTATAAATCTTACCTGGTAAGTAACATCTTGAAATAGTACAGGAAAGGTGAATGATGCATCCTCTAATTCAGTAAGACTACAATGTACTAGAGTCTCATCCTGAAATTAAACATATAGGATATTGAATGAGTGTAAGTTTAATTCTGAATTTATTAAAAAAGATGGATAAAATCATATTATGCGAGCCACTAAACTTTCACGAATTAAATATTCTATTTATCATATACCAAAAATAAAGACCGTTGAAGGGAAAAATAACCATTTTTCATTGACATGCTTAAAGTGTAACGCTAACTTTTTGGGCATCTTAACACTATGTTTGTATAACGCAAATGATGTCACGCCAAAATATATGCACAGCCTACAATACCATTTTTACAGTCACAAAAGCGGCAGAGATCTGTGATAAATAGAAATCTTCCATTTCTAAAATTATTCACTCCAGCTACATAACAAATATGCAGTACAAAATTTGTAAACCACTCCTGTTTCTTAATCCCTATACCCCCAAAAAATCATGCTAAAAATGTTCAACAAGTCTAGAAATTCCAAAACTCAAGCAACCTTAACATGCCCCAGAAAACATTGTGACTGAAGGAAGGACAAACATAAACTTTCAAACTCCATCAAAATTTTGAGGAGCATAAAAATACAAACTGTAACACTTTAAAATGTTACATCAAAATAATAATATACATGATAACATAAATATCTGGTGACCATTGACCTAACTTTTTTAAGCATTTGCAAATTGCAAGTCTTAAAATAACAATACTTGTCAACTTGTATTTCAAAAATATAGACAAAAGAAACATGTATGAATACTTACCAAATCTAGAACTAATGAGAATTCTGGTGAACTTCTTGTTTTTAGTGGTAATGCTGGCACTCTAGCACGAAGTTCATCAGTAAGGGGTGGCAGGCTCTTTATAAATGCATATCTGTGAAAAAAATTAACCCCAAAGTGAGTAAAGTTAGTCAAGAAGTATATTAGGAAGTCTGCCAACGGACAGATAGAATATTTATTTGCTAATGGACTATCCTTTATTTTTTGTGTTGTCCATTTTTTAAATCATACAAAATGTGCATTTTCAGATACTTAATATAAAGTTTGCTCCATCACAAAACCATACATCTTCCCCTAAAGACAATTTTAATTGAAACATTATCATATTTATTTTAATGTTATAACTAATTCTTAACACAACCAACAATTCCACACAAAATGTACAGGGCTCAGTCTGCTGGCTGCAGTCAATGAGCAAACTGGGTCAAAAATAATCAAAATTGGCTCAAAGAAATCACAAATGACCCAAACTTATGAAAAGTATGGCCTTTAAATGTGTCAAAAATAAGAAGTTCATAACGACAAAATTGGCTCAAAGGAATCACAAATGACCCAAACTTATGAAAAGTATGGCCTTTAAATGTGTCAAAAATAAGAAGTTCATAACGACAAAATTGGCTCAAAGGAATCACAAATGACCCAAACTTATGAAAAATATAGCTTTTAAATGTGTCAAAAATAAGAAGTTCATAACGACAAAATTGGCTCAAAGAAATCACAAATGACCCAAACTTATGAAAAGTATGGCTTTTAAATGTGTCAAAAATAAGAAGTTCATAACGATGTAATCACTAAAACTTCTTACAATTAAAATGGTTCCGCCACCCTATCGCTAATGAGCAAATTGGCTCCAAAATAATAATATTGGCTCATGAAAATCACAACTGGCTCATATCATCAAAATAGGTAAAAAATAAAAACGTTATTTACGACATAAACACTAAAACTTCTTACGGATCGAATGGTTCCGCCTCCCAGTCGCCTTCCTCGTAACTCTCCTCCGCGATCTCTTCTTCCTCTTCCTGGGCGGGAAACGTCGGGTCACAGTCCATCACGCACGGCTCCAACTTGTACAGGTTGTTATTGTTTTCTATATCAGCTGGCGTCTCCATGGCAACAGCATTAAGTACAGGTGAGAGCATGGTGAGATCTGGTATATGATTTTCTTTGACTGTAAAACAAGAATTTATATTAATGTTTTGTGAATGATGCCTGTTTGATGAGTTCATAAACTTATAAAAATTTGATTAATATAGTCATTTTCTGTTATTTAGATGAGGAAAAACCATCACTGTGGCAACTCAACAAAAACTTTACAATCTTAAAATACATAAATGGAACTGAAAATGAATTAAATCATTAACACTTTTAACATTTTATTGTTTCTTTAACTATAAGAACAACTAAAAGGGTCTCCACTGAGGTTTTTTGGCACAACGGGTTTGGAAATTATTTTTGAGATTAATGTTCCACTTGATGCAGGTCTAGACCAATAACTTATGGTGCAAAATTTCAGATCGTTCGCTCACTACGTTTTTCCAGAATAAATATTCTAATTGAGAAAAATAACTAAAAATTCAAGTGTTGCAATGCTTCTTTTAAAATCAATATAGTATGATATAAACTTACTGGATGATGTGCCATCAGAATCTTCACAGTCTGTGTGCTGACTATTGTTATTAATGCACTCGTCTGAACATGCTGAAATAAATAATAGTACACCATTTCTAAAGTGAATTGGTCTATCATGGAAGGTCTGTAGTACTAGAAATAATTATGTGAATTATATTTATTATCACACATAACTACATACCATAGGGCCACCAAAATCTGACTCTGACTTGCATGCCTGTTTTTATCTGGAGCAGTTCTTAACTTTTCCTCATGATATTTATATGTCCGTATGACATTTATATAGTTTTCAAGTTAATGAAAACGTCCACTTGTCCTGTAGTCTGTAGGACAACCATGGCAATATGGGCAACTGATTTTGCTACCCCTGTACCATGAGATAATTCTATATGAATGTTGTTATCAAGTTTGAGATACCTCATCCACTATTACAACATATATAGCAGATAATAAATTGATCTAGAACAGAACATTAATAATTATCATATTTAAATGTTCAAACTGAACCACTTAGTACTTTCTCAACATTTTTTTTTCATGGACTATTTTATAAGAATTACTGAATATCTAAATGCTATAATTCTTTTGTTTTATCAATATTTGAAATACTGATGGAAATACTTACCTGCAAACTTACAATGATAACCGTGATCACAACTGTAACCGTGGAAGGCCGGCGATGAGAACAGACTTCCGGTACAAGGGTAGATAATGTTATCTGGTAACTTATTCTCCTTCATCTGAGTGAAGGGTTTCTTCTTTGGGTGCCCTGTAACCAGAAAATTGTTTATATTGTTAAATGAACATGTTTTTTTTAATTTTGATTTTACATGGCACTTACATAGTAATAACAGCAAGTGTTGAATTACATGAATTGTGTATCAAGGGAAGTAATTGGCAAAGGGAGGTAATTGTCAAGATGCATGATATCTTCAAGTATTCTGAAATGGGATTAATGGTGATGATATTTTACTATGATCACCTTTAAAACTACAACAATATTTGTATTTTTCATTTAAATGCAGCAAAATCCCATTTCAGAATACTTGAAGATATCATGCATCTTGACAATTACCTCCCTTTGCCAATTACTTCCCTTGATACACAATTCATGTAATTCAACACTTGCTGTGAACCATGAATTTTCGAAAAGCATATTATAAATAAGTATCTCCTGTTTTATGCAGGCAAACTCATACAGAAAAAGAAAACAAGGACATTTTTAATGGGATTATTTTTAAAGATGAAAATATATACTAATTGGGAAGGCAAAATAGGCAATTTTTTTGCCATAAAATCATGAAAACCAAAATACCTTGAAAACTTTACCAAAATCTTTAAATTGTCAACAAGTTAATAACACAGAATAACAACTCTAATATCTAATTCTGTACTTGCTGGTATTTAACAGGACTTGCATTTTCAGGTCAGTTTAGCATCTCGTTTTTTTCTCCCCAAGTTTGAAAACGAAAACTTTTTCCGATTCCGACAACTTTTCCCTCCCATTCTGCTTATAATAGCATTTTAAATATATCCTTTGTATCTACTAACAAATTGACAATGAAAACATTCTGATCTTTATGTTTAAATGACTTTACAAGATGTTGTTTTAATCATTATATTGACCTTAAAAAGTCTTATCACAACAAGTTTTTAATTAGGTGAACATACTGTGTCAGATATCTATGTAATTCAAGCTGAAAAATATCTGTAAAATAATAGTACAACATTTGGTCTACCAACCCACCTATTCACATATTTAAGTCAAGGGAGTGGCTGGCTATTGTTTAGCTATGACAATTCTGTTTTGATTAACTTTTAATAAACATACGATAATAAACATACTTGCACATTTAATTAACAAAAAGGGCATTTATTTCTATAATATACAGAACATGTCACAAAATATCATACAAATATGCTTTCTTTTCCACAATTATAATGTTCAAAAACATTTAAAAGGAAACGTCTGAGGTTAAGTATGGGTATACAATGCAGGACAACTTTATAGTCAATTGCCCTCCAATTCCATCGGATTTTTTTCTTCTTTTTTTAACCAGAACCATTCCTCACCACCACATATATCTCATTTTCCCAAATGGTTTACAAATTACTTTAAATTTGTCAACTGATGCTAGTCAGCTTTTCCCAATTTACTAGATTTTCCAACTTCATAATTTCCCAACTGGGCCTGTTTCCAGAAAGGTGGAAAAACAACATTGGGTATAAATGTAAAGGACTTAAGTACAGTAAATAATAATAACCATTTCGTTGCCTGAAATGTAATTCTATAATTTTCGTGTATTTACCCGTGACACTTCTAGAATTTATATGTAGATCTGTTACATGCATTTTCTATAGAAAAGGAAGTTTATTTTTCACTTAAGCATATTTTTCACTTGTTCATATATAGAATATGATAAAGATCAAAGAAAACAAACAAAACTGCAATACATGGATATTTTGCTAACCTTGAACCAAAAATATGATAAACCAAGTAAAAATTTATTTCAAGACATCACATCATATTTCATAACAATCTTGTAGGCAAATACATGGTACTGTAAGCGGAACCTTTATATCTATCTTGTAGGCAACAAAAAAGGGTCAGTTAAGCTTATAAAATACTATTTATAACACAACAACCCAAACAGACAAACCTTTAGAGATCTGTGGTGTAGATGTGATGAAATCATTATTAGTGTAACACGGAGCTTTCGTGAGCTCGTTCTCCTGTCCACTCACGCATCTCTCCATCACGTTACAGTTCACGGTATCCACTGCAACATCTTTCTTTGTCTTCTTACACGGTTCCTCACACACACCCTGTTAATAACAATTTTTAAAATCAAAATCTGCTGGAACTAAAAGTGTTAAACCTTTGCTACTAGAATAATCAAGTTAGCCATTCCTACCAAGATTTTAATTTTGATATCCTAAAAGCAGCATGCCTCCAGATTCATGCTAATTTTTGTGAAAATTTTGAGAATGTATTTAACAGTAAAATATTGTAAGGTGAACAAAGAAAGAAATTTACACACTGCAAAAAAAACCCCTACAATCCATGTAAGTTACCAAAGAGAGGTGAAAATATGCAAAAAAGCCCTTATTGTGCTAGCCACTATTGGTTGTCCCGGAATACTCAAGTATAAATGCCTTCTTTGGATTTCATCAAGTTTACACATATAAACAAATTTAAGCCATCACAATGGTATGCGCCACCAGCCATTGGAAAAAAGCCAACTTAAACAAATCATCTAGTAGTTACTAATTTCTTAGCCAAACCAGAGACTGTCCTTATATCATGCTGTTGGCAGAATATTTGACTCGCGAGCTGATTTTGACAGTCAAATACTAGCATTTAATAATTTTCACAGGTCAAGGTCAGAGGTATCAGGCCAAATTAACACTCTTTCAGTTACGATTTGTAAGAAATCTAACATAATTTAACATTTTAAATTGACCTAAACTTAAACAATTGAGAAATTATGCAGAATGAAATGCAATAAAATAACTATTCCTAACACTTCTATATAATATTTGAAGGAATGTTTAAGTTGTCTACAAAAATGATTGAAGATATTTATTTTTGAGACATTGTAACACTTAAAGACGCTAGAATCCAGGTAAATTAAATGTAGAATTTGAGAATGTTCAGCGCATATCAAAACAAATTCCAGCAATACATTTTGGGTAAAATATTTTCATGCTTAAAAATTTTAACACCATATTACTAAATATCCAATATTTTTTTATAATTTAATGCAAAATTGAACAAAACTTTGGTCCAAATTGTTTTTTTCAAAATTGTTCATATTTTTTTCCCTGTCACTGCTTACCATGGCAAAAAGTATTAGAGTATGACTTGTAAAAAAATATATTTAGGCTGTATGATAAGCCCAGTATCTTGAGATTTTCTGGCCCTAAATTCTTTGTCTGAATTATCTTCCAGTTTTTTGCAAGTTTTTTTTTTAAGCTTATGAATATGTCTACTTTTATGAAGAATACTGAAAGAAAATACAAAATATGATATAATTCAATTGTTTTTGTATTCTGTCAACAAATAGTGAAAAATCTTCGCAACTTTTGACTATCAATACTCTCAAGGTTGAACGATTCGCTATTATTTTAAAAATCAAAGCCTAACTGAACCTTGACTCAACAATAGTACTTTCTTAAGATTTACGATTATCTTTGTTTTAAATGATTCAACAATGCCAGATATGTGCAACGAACTGGATTCATATGTGTAAAACATTGCACACTTGTTTGTAATTTTGTTAGCAGGCCATTTTTTCCCCCTTCTTTAGCAGAAATGTTTAATAATAAAGGGCCGATTCCCCAAAAGGAAATCTATAAAATCACCAACTCCACCCCTAAAATTCAACCTTCATCATGTTTCTTTTTCTTGCACTTCTGCAAATATTCTGCATTATTTTTCCTGATTTAAAGGACACCTTAAGGACAGGCCCCATCTCCTACCTGTCAAAAAAAAAAGTTCTTTTGAGATACTACTCTTTGGAAAGGGATAGAATGTCAGTGATTTTTCTCACTTAATTGGGAAGAGGCCTTATCCTCTTGATTTTGGGAAAACTTATCGCTTAAATTTTTGATTTGGGAAGAAAAAAAGCTGGTTTAAGTTCAGATTTTTGGGAAAACTGCATGATTTTAAAGAAAATTTCAATTGGGAAGAGGCCTTTTTTCGGAGTCTGTTATATAAGTAGGAAAATCACTGAATGTATAACATACCATTTCTACTGAATCCTGCTTCTCATGTCTACTGACAGCCAATTTTTGTGTTTTGTCTCCCGAGCGACGCCGTAACCTGTGGCGACCACCTCTATGCCTAAGCTGCATTCTACAACATTCAAACACCTGAAAATAATCAGTAAACAAATCCATGCTGATAATCAAGAAATCAGTGACTAAGTTCATAAGTTTATTTAAGTGAGGCCCCAACACTTTTTACACCTGAAAATTTTCAGTGAACAAATTAAACCATGTTCATTTGTCTTGCTATATTCACCAACTATCCCCCCTGATAATCAAGAAATTAGTGCCTAAATTCATATGTTTGAGTGAGACCCCAACACTTCATTATTTTTTTTTTATAAATTTGCAACATTTTTTAAACCATGAATAGAATTTCAAGTCTCCTGTTTTACTCTCCAAGACAGCAAATTTATGTTATTTTTCCCTTTTAAGTTTTAAGTTGTCAATGCTATTTAATAACTATTTACCCATAATTACAGTTGTGACCACTACACTGTTGCAAATCCATCTTTATTTCATACAAGTTACAACAGTTTTGCGGTCAACCCTCAAATTGCTTATTAAATTGAAAACGGATCACAACAATGAATGTCCACTGGAATTTGCATTGTATAAATTGGTATTGTCTTTTTTAATTTATAGTTGTCAACATTTCATGAATAAATTTTTTTTATCTCTGTAAATCAATTTTTAAATTAGGAATTCATAGAAATAAATAAATGCTTTTGCTGTTGCTGACACATTTATCAAGGAAAAAATAAGTGTCGGACAGGTGAAGGTGTCTCATCAGTTTTAGGGGGTTTTCTTGGGAATTTGCTGCAAATTTTGTGTGGTCAAGTGTCTGGGGATAAAGTGCTTTACTAGCTTACTACCTTTATATTGACCAAATTAACTTCCAACTTATTCAGACTTTTAATTGTCTTTTATTTTTTTATTTCTTTTACAGTGTCTATTCTAGGAGGGCGGGATTCACTCATATTTTTGAGAATTCCTCCCCATTTTTTCAGAGGCGGGAGAGGAGGGGAGGATTTTAAATAGAGAAAGAAGGAAAAAGATCAACAAATGTAATAAATTCCCACTTTTTGTACTTGTCGATAAAAATCCCCATTTTTTGAATCATAGAATAGACACTGCTTTTACACAAATTAACCAGAACAGACTTACTGATTTTAGCATGAGCATCATTTCAAAAGTGAATTGAAACTTTACAACTATTTCAGGGCCAGCAAAATCTGATTTTCACTAACTTGTACCTTTTTAATTGAAGCATTTTTTAACTTGTCCGTATGATATACAGTTAATTCTTGAAAATCTTCACTTGTCCATACAGGCTGTGGGACAACCTGGGCAATACGGACAATTGATTTTGCCGGCCCTGTATTTTGTCTACAAGTTATTAAATATTTGTGGTAAGTTATAAGTTACCACAATAGAGAAAATATTTGTGGTGATTTAAAGAATTTAAGAAAATCATTTAAAAAGATTATACAGGACCATCACTTCCCAACACATTTAACTCAATCATTATGAACGAAGAAAAAATATTAATTTAAAGAAATGATGAAATTTGATTTTATTTGATTTTTTCTTAAAGATTTTAATGTTCATTTGAAGTTAAGTTATTTATAGTTTGTGAGTGGGATGTTAATTTAATGTAGTCATTTATTGCTCAGTCAAACAAATTATCTCTATGAATCACAGTCTGGAAAGTATTTGTCATAAAAGATTACATCAGATTCTAATTCTAATGTTCAATTACTACTCTGAAAATTGTCACTTAAATCACAATGATAGGATGTTTTTTGGATTTTTTTATATGAACAAGAAATGTAGGTCATTATGTACAGTTATCATACATTCTTTTGTTACAAACAACAATGACAGTGTCCCTTGTACTTTTTGGAAATGTTATGTAGGTCGAACAACATCTACTGATTAACGCTACGGATCAGTGAATTTGACATTTTGAAATCGGACATTCGGTCCAAACATAAACAATGTTTATAAAGTACGAATATTAAAGGTAATTTGGGAATACACTCTTTAAACTGGCATGCAAATTGTATATACTAAACGTGAAATATTAACGAAAAGAACACACGTGATTATAAATTCAAATAAATTATGCAAAACTTCCCAGAGTTCTGTCTTGGGCGATGTGCCAAACTTTGTATACACAAAATGTCCGGTGAAATTCCTTCGTGAAATCGTGCACTAGACAGGAAATCTATGATAAATTATGACAGTACGATGCGTTGACATTTACTGTCTCCATTTAACTAAGTGAAATTAAGAGACAACAAGTAAAAAAGCTGAAATTCATACCAATTTCAAAGTGTTTACGTCCGAGAAACCATTTCGCGCGAAGGCTCAAGTGCCCGTATGACAGCTAGAGCGCATGGGCAGAATTCTAAATAGGAAGTAAACAAAACGTTGAGAAAAAAACATTGGTTGACTGGTACTCGGCCGAATGGTAATTTATTTGTACAGAAGCCGAGCCCAGAATCATTACTCATTTAAATTATAGTGGGTCAATGAGTAATACCAAGGGGTCAATATTTATTTGCATATGTATTATATTCAATTACCGTAGCCGGAATCACAATGTATGTTTATATGTAGGACATATTGTAAATTAATTATCAAACTTAGTCATTTTACTGGTATCATAATTTTTTAGATTTACATGTTTGTCAGGGTCATTGGAATAGAATTGAAAGACCCTGTACATACTATATTATGGGCCCAGCAACTATGAGCGGTTTTAATCCACACGATCCACACCTTTTCTAGCATCTGTATATGAGCGTTTTTGATCACCATGCACCTTTTCTAGAATCTGTCGATCACCACCTTTTTTAGCGGTTTTAATCGCCACCTTTTCTAGCGTCTGTCTACATGAGCGCTTTGACCACCTCTGTCTATGAGCGGTTTTAATCGTCACCTTTTCTAGCGTCTGTCTACATGAGCGGTTCTAATCACCACCTTTTCTAGCGTCGGTTTAAAGTGCGGTTTTGATAAAGTTCTACTTTTTCTACCGTCTATCTATGAGCGGTTTTAATCACCACATTTTCTAGCGTCTGTCTATGAGCGGTTTTAATCACCACATTTTCTAGCGTACGTCTGTCTATGAGCGGTTTTTATCATCAACTTTCGAGCGTCTGTCTACGAGCAGTTTTGATCACCACTTTTCTAGCGTCTGTTAATTTATGATTGATAATTGATAACCGCCTTATCAAGTGTCTGTCTGTGAGCGGTTTTGATAACCACGTTTTCTAGCGTCTATGAGCGGTTTTGATAACCACCTTTGTTAGCGTCTGTCTGTGAGTGCTTTTGATCACCACTTTTTCGAACGTCTGTCTATTAGCGGTTTTAATCGCCACATTTTCAAGCCACTGTCTATGAGCGGTTTTGATCCCCACCTTTTCTAGCGTCTGTCTATGAGCGGTTTTGATCACCACCTTTTCTAGCGTCTGTCTATGAGCGGTTTTAATCACCATCTTTTCTAGCGTCTATTTATGAGCGGTTTTGATAACCACCTTTTCTAGCGTCTGTCTATGAGCGGTTTTAATCACCATCTTTTAATTCTAGCGTCTGTCTATGAGCGGTTTTGAAAACCACCTTTTCTAGCTTATTACATCGATTGTTTGGTCTCCTTATATAGAAGACTTAAACCCGCTGGACTTCGATAGTTTGTGATGATTCCCAGCCAGTTTTCTTTTTCGCCCTTAAAACCTCTTTTTCACTATCATTTCGTGATCTTCCTCGACATAAGAATTTAAGTAACACCGCTGAGGTTAAAAAAGCTCAAAATCAAGTGAAGCATTTAAAATGGAAAAAAATCTGCAAAGGATAAGGAAGATTATGCTCAGAATGAAATTAATTTATAACAATATAAATAAATAATTTTTTGTGCCATTCTAAGCCCGATTGATTGAAGTGAAAAGCATTGTACAACGTTTTTAATTAAGGGATATTTTGCGCAATAAAAATTATGATTCTGGAAAATAACAGGGTGTTATTTTGAATATTTCTAGTTCCATCATCTCAAAAAAGAAAAGAAAAAAGACACAACCTCAGCAGGGTCCTTGTAACAACCATTGGCACGGCCTATTAAAGATCCAACTGCTGTCAATATACTTAATAGGATCCTGCAGTTCCGAACCATGTAAATTTTGAAATGTTGAAACAAATAATTAATTATTCATGGCGTAATATGGTCATTTCAGTGTGTCTAGCCGTTAGATTAGATTATTTTGTCAATTTAGAATGAAACGTTGTGATTTACTAGAAAAAAACAGAAACCTATGGCGTCGCAACCTATATCGTTATCGCCTTTTCGTCTTGTCGCTAGCGACAACACGACAAAGCGCAAAACGTCGCGCTGTCGTCTAGTCGTCCTGTCTCTAGCGAAGCGTGTCAAACGGCGCGTTGTCGCGCGGCGCGTTGTCTCGATGACGCCCTGTCGCTTGACTTATAAGCCAATCCTTCGATTTGGACTGAGCGACAATGTGACATCGCGACAGCACGCCCCACGACAACGCGCGTACATCGTTAGCGACAGGACGACAAGACGAAAGTCCGACAACGCGCCTTTTGGCGATTTGTCCTGTTGTCGCTAACGTCAACACGACGCACAAATAGTTCCAAATCAACCACCATAGAAACCAATATTGTATACAATAATTTCAAGCTCCTTATTAATGCTAAAATGGCATCATTTTTGCACCTTACACCAGAATATGGCCATAGCGACATCTTATTTAAACGGATCCTTAAGTATACATGAATGTGAAACGCAAATGTAAAGCGCGAACGTCAAAAATCGAACAAACGATTTTCTATTGTCGGCGTTAGCGCGACGTTGGCGAGCGTACTGATTTTTCACAGACGGCATTCGCAGGCGTGGAAGCAAAATGAAAGATCCTCCGTTCAAGCCTGTGTGCCTTAAAAATCAGAAAATCCCCTGTCGTTCTAACTTTTTACCTAAGTGGTGGTTTATCCCAAAAAGTTAATCTTTTCTTGATATTTCGTATCCGCCATCTGTCTTCGTTTATACTTTTATGCATGTAGATAAGCGAAACGACAAAAAAAGAAGCCAGAAACAGCGACCATTTAACTTATTATTTGGACATGTTTTCTTGTCAACTTTCAAACAGAAAAAAAAAATTTTCTTTTTCTTTACGCACGCCAAACGAACGTTAGAAAAGTGTGTACGTGAAAAATCACGCATCACGTTTAATTTTTCGCTCACGCATTACGTTCACGTCGCGCTCACGAATGGAATTCTAGCACCTTACTCCAATTTGGAACGTTTAAAACATATCCTGCACGAATTGACCACTATAAGGAAATGGCATGAGATACACCTTATTTAATGAAGTTAAATCAGGAAATGGCCTTAGTAAACCTTAATTTAACGGACCATTACCAGGAAATGGCCTCAGAAGAACCTTACTGTAATGAACCATTACAAGTAATAGCTTAAGTAGAACCTTCCTTTAATGGACCATAACCAGAAAATGACCTTAGTAGAACCTTATTCTAACGGACCATTACCAGCTAGGAAATGGCCTTAGTAGAACCTTACTTTAACGGACCATTACTAGAAAATTGCCTTTGAAGAACCTTACTGTAATGAACCATTACAAGGATATGGCCTAAGTAGAACCTTACTCACCAGGAAATGGTCTTAGTAGAACCTTATTCTAGCGGACCATTACCAGCTAGGAAATGGCCTTAGTAGAACCTTACTTTAACGGACCATTACCAGCTAGGAAATGGCCTTAGTAGAACCTTACTTTAACGGACCATTACCAGCTAGGAAATGGCCTTAGTAGAACCTTACTTTAACGGACCATTACCAGGAAATGGCCTTAGTAGAACCTTACTTTAACGGACCATTACCAGGAAATGACCTTAGTAGAACCTTACTCTAATGGACAATTACCAGGAAATGGCCTAAGTAGAACCTTATTCTAATGGACCATTACTAGAAAATGATCTTTGAAGAACCTTGCTGTAATGAACCATTACAAGAAATAGCCTAAGTAGAACCTTACTTTAATGAACAATTACCAGAAAATGGCCTTAGAAGAACCTTACTGTAATGAACCAATACAAGAAATAGCCTAAGTAAAACTTTACTCTAATGGACCATTACCAGGAAATGGCCTTAGAAGAACCTTACTGTAATGAACCATTACAAGAAATAGCCTAAGTAAAACTTTACTCTAATGGACCATTACCAGAAAATGGCCTTAGAAGAACCTTACTGTAATGAACCATTACAAGAAATAGCCTAAGTAAAACTTTCCTCTAATGGACCATTACCAGAAAATGGCCTTAGAAGAACCTTACTCTAATGAACCATTACCAGGAAATGACATTAGTAGAACCTTACTCTAATGGACCATTACCAGGAAATGACCTTAGTAGAACCTTATTCTAATGAACCATTACCAGGAAATGACCTTAGTAGAACCTTATTCTAATGGACCATTACAAGAAAAAGCCTTAATAGAACCTTATTCTAATGGACCATTACCAGGAAATGACCTTAGTAGAACCTTACTCTAATGAACCATTACCAGGAAATGACCTTAGTAGAACCTTATTCTAATGGACCATTACCAGGAAATGACCTTAGTAGAACCTTACTCTAATGAACCATTACCAGGAAATGACCTTAGTAGAACCTTACTATAATGAACCATTACAAGAAAAAACCTTAGTAGAACCTTATTCTAATGGACCATTACCAGGAAATGACCTTAGTAGAACCTTACTCTAATGAACCATTACCAGGAAATGACCTTAGTAGAACCTTACTCTAATGGACCATTACCAGGAAATGACCTTAGAAGAACCTTACTGTAATGGACCATTGACAGGAAATGACCTTAGTAGAATCTTACTCTAATGAACCATTATCAGGAAATGACCTTAGTAGAACCTTACTCTAATGGACCATTACCAGGAAATGACCTTAGTAGAACCTTACTCTAATGAACCATTACCAGGAAATGACCTTAGTAGAACCTTACTCTAATGGACCATTACCAGGAAATGACCTTAGTAGAACCTTACTGTAATGGACCATTACCAGGAAATGGCCTTAGTAGAACCTTACTTTAATGAACCATTACCAGGAAATGGCCTTAGTAGAACCTTACTCTAATGGACCATAACCAGAAAATGACCCTAAAATGACCCTAGTAGAACCTTACTCTAATGGACCATTACCAGGAAATGACCTTAGTAGAACCTTACTCTAATGGACCATTACCAGGAAATGACCTTAGTAGAACCTTACTCTAATGGACCATAACCAGGAAATGGCCTTAGTAGAACCTTACTGTAATGAACCATTACCAGGAAATGGCCTTAGTAGAACCTTACTCTAATGAAC